ATAATGTTAGGAAATGGCCAGTACTCATACCCAGTGTTCTATGGTCTGATTAGTCTTCTTATACCATAAACATAAAGGAAATATAAGTGCATTATGAAAACAGTATATAACCACTTTTTACAAGGTATTGCAGCTGCATTGTAGGAATTTACTAATTTAATTGGAAAGGGAGACTATAGATATATATTTTTTTGGTAATTTTTTGGGGTCCTGTGAATTTATTTTGGTCAGATTATCTGTGGTTTTGGAAAAGCTTTATTTTTAATCCAAAATAATAATTTTCTTTAATTATTTTGTATCTCTGTTTCTTTCTGTACTCTGGTTGCTGATTTCATGCTTGCTAGGATAGTGCTTTTGTGTGCGAGTATGCATAGAGATGCATATATATGCTGTATGTATGTAAAATGTTTATACACACTTTATTCACATGCATACAAAATTGTATACCAGTATATACAAGTTAAGAAATGCATGTTTTATTGTATGTGTGATGCAAGGTATAATGTGCGTGTACACATGCACACACACAGACAGACGCATGAGTTCATTTTAATAGTGTGTATTTGCATTATACTATTTTTGTATTTATATATAGAAATCACTCCACTTTCTAAGCAGTTTGGCCTCTCTATTAACGGGCCCAAGCTTGGCAAAATTTATTCATAAGCCACTGCTGAGTTTGATGCCTCATGTTTCTAGCTCTGAATCATCTGTATCTTGCAGAACATCTGGTTTCTTGGGTTTTCTAAGAGCGTAGTGCATCTGTTTCTAGCATTAACTAGCTATGATATGTTGGACGTGTATCGTCACAATGCATTAGTATATAGTTGCCTGCTTTAACTATTTTAAATTATAGTAGCGCTCCTTTAAGCTTTCCATTTGCAGCTTGAGACCTAGTATTAAAAAGAAAAAAAGGCCGTATAGGTGGAAGGTACAAGAAACAATACAATCAGAACTTAACTATTATAAATATAATTAAATGTGTGTGAAATATATGAATGTAAGTGTTAGTTTGAAACTTATTGACATTTATGTAAGGGCTTGGTAGGATTTACTCTTACCTTTTGATCACATCAAATAAAGCAGCAATCCTAACCTTCCCTAATATAATTTTCTCTTACCCAGTACTTGTTTATAGTTTCATAGTTTCTAGGGTCAGAAGGGACCTGTGTAGATCATCTAGTCCGACCCCTTGCCACGGCAAGAAAGAGTACTGGGGTCAAACGACCCCAGCAAGGTGTTCATCTAACCTCATCTTAAAAACCTCCAGGGTAGGAGCCTGCATCACCTCTCTTGCAAGTTGGTTCCAGACCCTAGCCGCGCTGACCGTGAAATAGCGCCTCCTGATGTCTAACCTAAACCTACCCTCTGCCAGCTTGTGACCATTATTCCTGGTCACTCCTGGCGGTGCTCAGGGGAGCAGTGACTCCCCC